ATTGCTCTATAACCAGTTAGTACTGCCCCTTGTCATGTGCAGGAGGAACCTGATAAATAATACATTTATTTTAAAAAGCACATCAATACTTCTGCCATCTGGGGTTTGATGTTTAGGACTGACACCATACAGTCTGTAACTCTAAACATCTGCTCCCTCATTAACACTGTTCAGGCCCCAGGGAATGCTTCTCCGCATGTTTTGCTCTCTGCATCGAGGAACTAAATGTGACCATGTCTGATGTTGCGAGTTTGTGGATTGTGCCTTTGCTGACATCACGTGAACCTGTTTGATGGTGTAGGGAAGATGTAAGCAGCTGAAGAGCTTATAAGAAAAAAGTCAACTTAACTTTTCAAATACTTTCATTCAAGGAGCACAAATGCAACAGACTCTTGCTTAATGAAAAATCACTTGCCAGCAGGACTGGATGTCAATTTTTTTGTTTTCTTGTTCCCCATGTAAACGTGATATTCCCACCAGTTACACATGGCAGCAGAGGAACATTTTGCAATATTAAACTAGTCCTACTACTGTTAAGTTTGTATATACGAAAATCTAGATGTAAAGTGCATGGAACATGACCCACATTCTCCAAAGAGAAGCCTGAGGCAAAAAGGGGCTCAGTAATTTCAACAAATAAAGCACATTACTGGTAAAACTGTAGCTCAGAACCATTTCCTTTTCAGAGTTCTGCTCTTCCCACCACAACTTAAAGTGCTCAGAGTATCTAAGACAGTAGAAGCGAACATCTCTATGACAATAATTTTCTCTCCCCTGACATATGATCCCCATTTATTTTTCCTTACTAAAAATCCCAAGTATAAGAACAATAGCTTTTCAATAATTATCACAAAGGTGTCTACTCTTGAGTCATTTTTCCTTTTGGTTCTTTAAGCCCCTAAGGCATTCAATCTTCAGATCTTCTATAGAGAAAATCTTCCCTTCAAATGTTTATCCAGGGCGATTTTTTTTTAAATTAAAGTTATTGGGGTGACAATTGTTAGTAAAGTTACATAGGTTTCAGGTGTACAATTCTGTAACACATCATTACATACATTTATTACATTGTATGTTCACCACCCAGAGTCTATTTGATGAAGATACAGTGCCAGGCATTGGATTGAGAACCTTCATCAAAAACGTCTGCCCAGAGACAGATGAGGTCCTTCAGCTCCGGTGCTGATTGGTTCCTTTCCTAGGGACTCTCCAATCCTACCGTGCTTGGACGCTGTCACAGGTTTTTATTCTCTGAAGTGGGTACATCAGAGCTACCAGGTGTGAGCTGTGTTGACTGCCATTACTTATTTCTTTGCTCTCAGTTATGTCTGGGACGATGGCTCTGCGGATCCCCAGAGGCCTTTGGACAGCAGCCGTGATGGTGATGCTGGTGGTGCTGAGCGCCCCAGTGGCTGAGGGCAGACATTCTCCACGTGAGTGCAGGGCAGCTGCTCCCCAGAGCCAGTGCTCTGGGCAACAGGCTCTGAGGGTCCCTTGTGCTGGGGTGTGGGGAATTCCATGATCTCAAAATACAGTGTTTTATCACTCATTTCCTCTCTTTGGGAAAGAGAGCTAGATACATTCTCATTTCCACTTTAATTATTAGGTGAGGACAATCCCCATGTCACAGGCTCAAGCCTGGGGATGTTATAATGGGGAGGATGACACCAAGTGTGCCTCTATTACTGGTGACAGGAAAAAGTGACAACTGATGTTATTTTTGAAGATAAGAATTTCTCCAAAGAAGAGAAGCAGGATTTGTCATTTCAGGGCCCCCCAAGACCTTGTCTGGACTAAATACCTGGGATTCTGGGTTGGGGACACGTAGGGCAGCAGCGGTCTGTGTCGTCTCAGTGTTTGGGGAAAAGGACTTACATTCCTCACCCTGAGTGGAGGGCTTGTGGGGCAAAGTCTTGGTGTCTGAGTGAAGGTGACTGAGTGTTAACTTCAAGCTTCACTGATTTAAGTAACTGGAACGGGATTCAGAGGCTTGAGCTGACAATGCACTGTATGTGGATAATGTAAAGGAGGGAAATAATACGTATGGAGAAACCATTTATTTTAGACACAGGATTAATATCTTCAGATTCTTCTCAATCTTCCTAACACCCCTAAATGTAGGTAGTATGACTTTCTTTTTACAGTTATGATATACTCTAAATAACCGGCCCAAGCTGGTAATAGGCACAGTTTAGTTGGAATTTAATTGATCTAATTAAAGCCCGTGCTCTTTCCATGTATGAATCAGGCGTTCCTTTCCAGGACTAGGGAGGCTGGGTCCCTTCTCTCCACACACGAGTGAGAACCTCACACTGCAGCTGGTTCACGTGGAAACGCAGAGTAACCCAGGCATGGGAGGGAAGGCACTTCGCCCGGGTCCGAAGAGAAATTCCTTGTCAGGACGAGGACAGGCTTAATTCCAGACCTCTCTGGTCACTCCCTTGAACGCACACGCTTCTGTGGATGCTTGTTTGTCCCTGAGGTCCCCGAGTGCTATGGGGGATGGGGTTTCAGTGAGAGCGTCCTGATCTAAGTACCGGGATGGGAGTAAAACCGCCCGACTGCCCCCTCAGCCGGTTCTCAGGCCCCGGCAGGTCCCAGGCCTGTCGCTGGGGACAGGCTGCCCTCCGTCCCCTCCGTCCCGCAGGCCGCTCTAGAAGCCTCAGACGGCCCGAGGGTCCCGGTTCCGAGCGGGTTGGGCGGGCGCCGAGGTCGCCGCCGGGCTCCGGGTGGATCTGCCCCAACTGCCCGCGACCCAGGACGGGGCGGCGGCCGCGCGGGGCTGAGGGCGGAGGCCTGACCGCGGCGCTGACTCCCCGCAGAGGATTTCCTGTTCCAG